GAAAGAGTGGGAAAATTAGTGAAACAGTTTGTCCAGCACTCCACTTAAAAAAAAAAATAAATTAAAAAATCTCCCTTGCTCCTTATAGTTACTGATATACTGCTCATCTGCTTTTAAATAGAGAATAGAGGAACAAAGAATACCAGCTTCCTACTCTTTTGCAGATTTCCATGCGAGGAAGACCTTGGAGAGAAGAAAGCTTTTGCAGCAGAACAGCAGAAAATTATCAGCTTCAACCTACCTAGAAAAGCAATTTGCTGAAACACACAATTTCTCAGACTTAAGAGCTTGGATTGAAAAAAATAATCTACCAGACAACCTAGGTAAGCATGGAAAGTATGATTCTTTTAAAAAACACATGCATTTCACATTCAGTGTGTGGGATGGTATGCAAAATTGTAAAGCGTGTGGTTAAATCCCAAGCCATCGCTGACAGTTCAGTTCAAGTAAAGTTTTAAAACCACAAATTTACTATTCCGAGATAATTTTAGTTGTCCATCTTTATAATTCAGAGTATTAACGCATTATTTTAAGAGGTAACTACCACAGAAAGCTTAGTACTCACTTGAAAAGAAACTGAGTATGTGTAAGCAATTTTGACTTCCCCATTAGCCTTATTACTTATATCCATAGGTACTCCTGAGCAATCAGGGTTGTCTGGATGAGTATGCTTGTAACTGCAGGAAGAAACAACACAGAATGAAAGCTGCTTCACTGCCAACACTTTTAGGGAAGAATTCATTCACCTTACAAAAGCATCAGTTTCATTCTGAATTCTTCCCTTAAACATAAAAGTTGTTCTTAATGCCTCATAAATTTCAGAACTCATAAGGAATGTATCATAAGCACAGGACTTTTTGTTATTTGACCTTTTTAAACAAAAGTTGTCTCTTTTTAGAAGAGAAAACTATAGAGAGACAGTCTCTAAAGCACAGCACCAACAATGAAACAAGTCTGAGTACTGCTAAGAACCTCCAAAACGCTCAAAAAGTTACAACAACAGAATTACTAACTTCTCTTGCAAAAAAATACTTTCATCATGATGCTGGACCAACAATGCAACAAACTCAGTTATACTAAGAACACAAAGAAAAGGAAAGACAAGATGCTAGGAAATAATAAACCAGACATGAGACATCAGTTGTACAAAAGCCACACAGACACCAGAACAACTGATGAGTATATTTGTGAAATCATTCCGTTCAAACCCTGATTGGTGAAGACATCACTGCACTCTGGTTACTTCTGCATCAGACACTGGTGGCCTATTCCATCACAAGACAAAATGTTCCCTAGTAGGGAAATGAGGGTTGCTTCACTGAACGCAAACCGCCGCCAGGTTTTATTTTATCTTTTTTTTTTCCCAAATAGGAAATAGTACACAAAGATCTACAGAATTCAGAACAAAATTATGTTAGAGACTGTCCTACATTACACTACATCAATCAACAGGATAGCTGACCTACAGGTCACTTATCTGAAAACATTTCTGACTAGCAACAGGTGCCAAGATCAAAGCAAGCACCTTGGGATGGACCACTGTTTGATGACAAGTTATTTCCAAGTACTAACCTTTTTGGTTCAAGTTTAGCAGCAACTAGTCTTGCTCCCAGAGCTCCATTTTCCACAACGTGGTAATATATTTTTATGTCAACGTGGTTGAAGATATAGAAAGTATCTTTTTCATGAAATTCTGACTGCAATGATAAAAGATGATGTTAAACAATCAAAAAGGTAAAGACATCTAAAAGCCTTAGGCAGAAGCTTACATAACAGAATTTTAGACTCCGTACAGTTTTTCTGTCAAGAAGTTCTACAAGATGAATGCAGGAATCTAGGAATATAAAGACAGTAAATTCTTTGCCTTAAAGCCTTGCATTAAAAAGACAAACTTGAAAAGTTAATGCTCAGAACTGTATTACTACAGTTGAAAAGTAGAAAAAAGTATTTAAATATAAAACATTTTTTAATAAATACATTTAGATTTATAAATATTTCAGTAATTGAAAATGCCCCATATTATTTAATTGTAGTAGCAAACCGAATAGATAACTACGTGACAACTTTAATATCAGAAGCATTTTATAAACAACAGCTATTTTAAAACAACGTGTATATTTTTTCACGGATTAAACAGAACCTTCCAAGACAAACAATGCAAATAATTGCTCTCTGTGACAAAACCACCTTGACATTTGAAACCAAAGGTGCACAGGGATGAACTGCAAGCAGCAGTCAAAAAATACAGCTGAATATAAATCCCAGGTGAAGGGAAACATCATCTTGGAATTTAGTCACTTAAAGAGACTGTTAAATCACAAGCATTACATCTACTGAAGTTCAGTTAGCATTTCTTCAGGGTTCTATCCTCACCCCTTTCTACAAAGCACCTCAATTATAAGAACAGTTATATAAACAAAGTATTCTTCTACCGTCCTGCAGTTACTCCTTCAAATGTTACTTTCCTTTTATTGAACAATATTGAAACAATACTGGCCAGATTACATACTTGATCATAAACGCACCCATTCATATGGAGGCTCTGAAACCAATTTGTTATGGAGGCAAGGAAACAAAACTAGAAACTGCAGAAACTGTTGTCTTTGGTAAGATCCATTAAGTAAAACCAACCTTTCTGATAAAACCAAAACCTATTCCAGGTTCTCAATGACCTCTCCATGGAAAAGGTCTGCGGTAATCTAAAATTGCATTCTAACCTCCATAATTCTTACAGTGCATTTATCTGGACCTCCACCAGTCAATTCAATAGATCCGTCTCTCACAGGAACAGCTTTGTTCACTCAGCAATCTTATATTCTGCCTTCTTCCATTAGCCCACACATTTTTAGAGAAAGCAATCCTTCAAGAAGTATTAATTTCTATGCAGAGGTACAAATGTGTCTATGCAAACCTACTTCCATGAAAACACTTCCATCCCACAGAAATGTAAAGTCCAAGCCTTCAAATGTTTAGACTTCTTCAGCAATGAAGGATGACATGTTTTTCTTCTCCTTCACCCTTTACATGTACTAAATGCTATGCACATTCATCTCTTCTCCCTATCTTTTAGAGCACTTCTGTATTGTGCAAGAGAAGAGATAAGGTTCTCAGGCTTACAAATTGTGGTACTTGCAGAGATATCAAAACACTTCCCTGGCTTTAGGGAACCAAGGGTTCTTAAGATAGCGAGGACTCACCATAGAAACATGACATAGGAGAAATGCCAGTCTTTACATTAGTAAAAAGGGAATATTAAAAAAAAGTAATTGCATAAACATACATTAATAACACAGGCATCTTTTGGACGGCCGTCTTCTGTAATATAACAGCCAATAGGAAAACCAGGATTGCAGAACCTCTGGCCATCTTCAACATCATAACACCAGGTCACAGGCATGTTGTCCACAATCCTGTAAACGGCATAGTGACATTTCACAATCTTTCAAAATACACAGTGTAACGGAAACAAAACCAAATTAATATTAATCTAACTTTTCTACATTCATTATTGGAACGTTAACTCCAAGAATAATACTTCTTTCAGATCTTAACCCATGGAACTGCACTGATTGCCAATCCAATTTCCAAATGAGATACAAGCATGTAGCTCTTCAACTGAAACTTCATCTTTAAAAAAAAAAAAAAAATTAAAAAAATCAATCTATTTCTTCAGAAGGTGGCTTGGAAATAGGAAGCTTATTCTGTGACCACCAAAAAATTCTATTCAGTGAACTGGTTTCTGAAGTCCCCTTACAAATATAACCCAATACATAAAACTCTCCCGCTCCGAAGTCCTAACAATTTAACATTTCATTATTCTGTCTTTAAAAATGGCAAAAGCATCCACTAAACCAACTAACATGAACTTGATGAAATTATCAAGTTTAAGACAAAACACAAAATAAAAAAAAAAATTGCCTACACACACATTAGTAATTCTCCAGCTTCCTCATTGCTCTTCCATTGCAAAATACATTTTTCTTGGCACTCTTTAAGCTTTTATTTTGCATTAAAGCTGAAGTGCCAGTTTAATTTTTTTGGAGGGGGAGGGGAGCTATTTAAGGGACTTTCTGACTACTGACCTCAGTTGCAGTTCTCTAAGAGTATGGAATATTTTAACTACATGATTTAAATGAGAAAAAAAAAAGTAAGACACCAGACATTTAGGAAAGTAATCACTTCCAAACCCCCCTCCATTGTCTAGCTCCTGCTTTTATATTATTGCCTCACAAGATTTATATTCATATTACCTAAAAGTCTGGAGCTCAGTATGTTTATAGTTAATTTTCAATCAAAGATTTGTGGCGGAACCCCACAGCCCCATGAGGAGTCACAGAAAATGGTAAGACACTAAGATAGAAATAGTACAAATGTCATACAAAAAATATACTGTTAAACATAAAGAAAGATACCCAACATGGTGACCTGTCCCTTTGTAAAAGGGACTACTAGAAAAACCAATGTTATGATGTGTTTTAACTAGCTGAAAGATAAATCGCAAAAGAAAAGTCATTCAAAGCGACTTAAAATTCAGTAGCTGCCCTTAGGGCAACATTAATCGCTCCAAGCTATGTTTTTAAAGGCCTATTAATAAACTTCACAGAGAAGATGAGGATGAGAAGAGATGAGACAACTACCACTTTTTGTGGATCATTAGACCAAAAAAAGGACATCCCACTGAAAGTTAACAACACACATTGTTTTGTGTAACTTACCAAGCTACAGAATATCCTTTGCAATTAAATGTCTTATCACTATAACCACTGGGCTATTAATGTTAACAGATACCTGATAATACCTCATTTGGTATTTTTAAATACCTAATTAAACACAGGAATTATGACTTCAGACAACAAAACCAAAGTGTTTAGTCTGTTGAGTATTGTAATAGTCTCTAAAGTAGCACTATTTTTTAAAGCACATCAACAGACGGGGGTAGAAAGAGCAGTACATGCTGCCTTTGTTCACACAAGAGAAACAGACCTGCATCATCCCTATCATTAGCTATCAGACAGAAATAAGTAGCAATGTTCTTGGCCGATATTGACACAGTGGAAGAGGTGAAGACAGGCCCTCCAAAAACACAGCTCCCAGGTTCTCAAGAGATTCCGAAGACTATCACAGTTGCAAAGCAGCAGCACCACCCACCAAATCCTACCCACTTCGCCATGCTACTATGAGGTACGATTCAGTTGCCAATTAGGAGCTACTCCAGATGCAGAGTCATTACACTTGGACATATTTGGAATTTTACCTCCATAATATATGCTAGAGATACTTCTTTCTCCTGTTAGTATTTTAATTTCATAATCAAAACCAGGTAAACCTATTGCAAATGAGTGTGGTTGGGCTAAAGGCTTTCACTTGCATCTTCTGCAGCAAAGACATACTGAGTTGCCTTCAAGCAGCAATGCTGGAACAAATTGATAAGTTTAAGCAGCAAATAATTTTTCACAGTTAATCTTCAAATTTAAAATTACTTGAAGAGATTATACATGTGGGGCAAATATGCTATACAACAGTGTTCTTACATGTCTCTCAAGAACATCTGGTGATGAATGTTGTTAGCCAAGATATCAGTATAGCTGTTGAGTCCAATTCAGTATGTCAATTCCTAATCTTATTAAGTGGCTTTTAAAACCTTAAAAGTACTTTGCACCATCTGTGTTCCCCAGGAATTTTATGATAAATTGAAGCTGGATAATAAACCTCTATTAAATCCTCACTTATGCTACCTTGCTGATCCCTGTACAACATACCCCTGCACCATACTCCTGGACCATGCATCATTCATCACAAAATCCAGCCACTTCTGCTTTGTGAAGCTGTGACTGAGGACTATCATTACCATGCAGACATAAACAGGGATTCTTCATGCCACTAGTTCTAAAGTTTTAGGGCAATGGGCTTACCAAAAAAAAAAAAAAAAAAAAAAAAGGAGAAGTGCTATTAAAAGAACCAAGAATATAAGTAATACCCTAAATTTAAAGGGAGGTTTTCACACTGAAAAACAGAACTACATCTTACTAAAATCTGAACAGTCCTATCAAGTCAGCTGTACAGGCTAAAAAAAAAATATACTTAAGTACACTAAGTATATTTGTAAAACAATTTAATCTAAGGGGGAGGGAACTATCTAAAGTACTTTCCTGTGTGATTAGTTTTACACAGTTCTGTTTCAGTTTCTGCCAGCTTAAGTTTTGGGCCTTCCTAAAAAAAAAACCCTATTTCTTTCAAAGAGTGACAGGATCATAGCCTTGGGAAACTATTTTTCATTCGCACACCAAAACACACAAACTTTCAAAGCTGAAGCTTTATGCCAGACCAACGTGCATCAGTGAAATTCAAAGTGGTGTAAATATTTATAAATATGTCCAGTATTTAATAGGAATATAACCAAATCCAGCATGTTTGAAGCTCTACTTATTTCAGCACTAGGCATATATATTTTGAATCCCTGCAAAATTAGCTGTACCTTGCAGGGTTGCTTTACCACTTCCTGGTTCACCTACGTGAACATATAGAATCATAGAATTGTCTAGGTTGGAAGAGACCCTTGGGATCATCGAGTCCAACCATCTACCCTACTCTACAAAGTTCTCCTCTACACCATATCCCCCAATAACCAATGTGGCTATTGGCTGTGAACCCTTCTGCCTTGATCTATAAACTTTTAACTACACTAATTTTCAAGAGGTTCCCAGAAAGATGAGTGAGCCATAGCTTATCCCTAAAAAGGGATATCCCGTATCAGTTCCCAAGAGCAGTAGAAAATGCACTCATTGCCTTTCCAGCACAGGTAGCTGTTTCAAAAATGAAGAAATGGAATGTGACGTTACAGAAAAACATTCAGTGACAATGGCAACATTTAGCATTTCACCTACATTTTTATTAATACATCCAGAAAGTCTTAATCTAATTAGATGAAGACCAAAACATTTGTTTCCATGAAGCAGGGAGCACATATGGGCACCGTCAGTTAATTATGCTCATGTATTACTTGCAAAGGCATGCCACGGGAAATCTAACAACTTCGTGCCCAAGTTTTTCCTTCTGCCCTTGCACCCAAAGGTTGCTGTTAGCACAGCATACCAACGTACAAAGAACTATACAAACACCGATAGCGTGACTGGGTATTTCCAATGTCAAAACGGAACATAGCTACATCCTAACTGAAAATCAGCATGAGATTCAGCATACACATTCAGCCTTGCCCCACCCTTAACGCCCATTGGAAGAGGACCTCAATGTCCAAGCAGAAACAGAGCCCCAGCATGCTCCAAAACAACTCAGAGAGTTACAGAGGGACTCAGAGAACAGGAAAGGACCAAGCGTTTATGTGTTCCTCAAAATTATTTCTTTAATTAATCATCATTGATCACCTTTTATTGGAAATGAGTATCTTATACCCTATAAGAGAAATGAACTTTGCATAAAACTCTTTCAGAAATGTTGATCCCATGTCCTGGATACAACATTTGAAGGGGAGTGCAAAGGCTCTTGAGGAAAACAAAGATGACATATCAATCGAATGAAGGTCTCCTAAGACTTTTCTCAAGCTAGAGGCAAGATTAACTTCTACATTTAGAGGTGCAAAGAAATAGCAATATTTTACAGTAAGCACAGAGACAGCATAAAAAACACACAAAGCTTTGTGTTCGGAAACAGACTTGTTTCTGTTATACCTGGTGCTTATCCTTCAAGTGAAGGAAATTTTTTATGAAGACAACAAAAAAAATAACATCTTTTGCAAGAACAGAAGGGGAATAGATTCAGTGCAAATACCTAGTGTTCAATCTGTATTAACTTGCAAATACAAAATGAGAAACTAAATTAAATTATCACATACATATTAGAATAACCAATCTATGAATTTTGATATCAACTTACCAATGATGCTGATAATTCAGTAGCATACTTTTTTTCAAGAAGTCTAGTTTCTGTTTATCTTCTGGCTTTGTGGTATCATATGTTTTCGTACAAACAGATTTACATGTCTCCTTGTTTTTGAATGTGAACTAAGAAAAAAAGACATACGAGCAAAAAGGTTGTAACAAATGTTGTGTAATTTCACTATTTAACAAGTTTCCCCTATACGTTTATAATTGCCTACAATGATACAATAAAATCACCTAACAAATTACCAAGACAATGTATATTAACCCTCCAGAGGAGGTTTTTATATCGGTGTGTGCTATAAAACCCTCCTGTGATCACTGTAGAGCCCTACACTGAGAGCTCTTTGTTACTGATTAAAACCTGTTTTCTACAATTATTCACCAGACAAGTCATTTGACCTCACAACAGTAATGCTGTCCCAGGTAGATTCAATTAATAACTTTCTCTCCTACTATGTGTATTGGAGATGGCAAGAGCTATAGTCACCAGAAAAGACAAGCTGGCCAACACCATTTCTAATTCTTCCATTTCACAGCTGCAATATTTTCAGATCTGGTTCCAAGAAATAAGAGTACTCAATTCCCTCTAACAAGGGGACAACAGAGGAGCAAGAATCAGGTTTTGGCAGGTTCCAAAGACAGAAAACAACCTCCACAGCATTTCTGGCAGCAACTTTATGATGCAAAGTGCATAGCTACAATCAGGTTAAATGGACAGATTTCTATTATGAGCAATTTCAGATTTTGAAGCTTGTTGAGATAAGAATCTTGAAGATCCTACTAGGGCTTTATGTCCTTTGGTTACATTTGAACATACATAAAACCAAACACCCCTTGTGAGAGAACAAACCCTGTAAGGAGACGGTTCTATCCTCTCTCCAAACAATACTTGGCCAAGGTTTTCAGAGGGACGCTTCTTTCCTTCCGCTTGACAAAAATCAAACCTGAATTAGAGAAAAGATACAAAAGTTAATCCAATATTCTCAGCTGCAAATATTAGACCTCAAACAGTGCTCCCAAATCAACACCTTCATCGCAAGGAAAGGAACTATAAAGCTTAACTTCTAAACAACAGTTTCTTCCTTAAACCTGCAAAGCAAAATGTGAAAGTCACAGTCCCATTTTGAAAAAAAAAAACCCAAAAAAAACCCACCCAAAAACCCCCCAACAATCAAATATCTTCATCAGCTATTTCAGAACTCAGTTTATGTTAAACATGGTAGCATAAAAGTTTCCTTAAATAATTAGAAGTTTCTTATTTGCACAGGAATTTTAGCCAGAAATTAAACCTTCTCATAGAATTTCATGACAGCCCTGATAGAAAAGCATGCATGCCAGATTCTTGGGATGGGGTAGCAGATAATAACAGAAAAAAAAAAGAAAAATACACACACACATACAGACAACTTTACAACAAGCACTATTAAACAGGTTATTGCAGTTCTATTCACCAACACATTTAATAGCACATCCTCCAGTTTTTTTTCAACCTAATTTCAGGTATATCACATTTGTGTTCATTAAAATGTTGACATAACTAGTGCTTAACCCCTTCAATACTAAGAGTCAAAATATTCTTTGAAGCAACAACTTTACATAGTTGTACCAGGCAGGGATACATCTTGTGCACTCCTATAATGCCTACCAAGAAAACATTTAACACCTCATTAAGATAATTGATGGGAAGTTCACACCTCATTACCACTTCAACTCATGTGGCTATAGGCTACTTAAGGCAGCAGTCATACTTTGATCTACAAAATGACAACTAATGCAAAAGAGTAAATATTACACATACACACATTTTAGCCTTAAGTTACTCTGAAGCAGTGCTTCGACCTATATGAGGGCCTATGAATCCATGCACTACTTCTAAAGTATGCGCAAAGACAACTGAAAAGAAGGAATCAACGTATGCTTGTTGAAAATTCTGTATTTGTAAACTTATGTTAGCAAAATAAATAGACATTCCTCACTGGCAAACTGCTGTAGAAAGACTTAAATAATACTTTGAGATAAATTAAAATCATCTTTTTAGAAGAACTCACAACAAAAATTACATGAACGTGAACAGCATAATATACTTACGCAGTATATTCGTAGGGAAGTACGGACTCTACGGAGTCAAGCCTGTTCACAAACAGCTCAATTGCAGACTGAAAGAGTGGAGATAATAAGCAGTGATATTAAAGCACTTCATCAATTCTGACAGATAATATAAATAGATTTGTGTGAATAAGGTAAAAGAAAGCTGAAAATGTAAGATTTGTGTAATTATACATCTTGAAACACAGACTACTTTGTGATGAACTGTATCTGCTGAGAGCATACATAAAACACTATCTAATCATCACAAAACAGTGACCACATTACAAAACCACTTTAAGGCTAAGATAACCATACAAACTACAAGACAAGAAATCAAGCACAAAAATAATACAATTATCACAGCTGACAGTGTTTAGTTTAATGTACAAAGTTAGAGCCATATTAGTCATCACCACAACTGTTGTCTAATAAAAGTCTTAAAAGAACATGAACAAAAGTATGGGTGAGATCAGTGCTTCTCCCTGTAATTAAGCTGGTCCACAATTTTATCTATGTAACAACTGAAAACTGAACTACGAGGATTTAAACAACGCATTCAGACTAATATGCTATTTGAAGTTTGAACAGCAGCCCTTTGCAAAGGAAAGGCAAGGATATCCACATTTACCTTCATATAAAAGTTTATCAGTAACTCTAGCAACTCTTCTGCAAGAACCTGAAATTCAATCTGCTGTGGTTTCAGACTAGTTTGGTCTATACACGTTAATTACTGATGGGGTA